TGTAAATTTAATTTTTTAACAACACTAACAAAATTTAATTTATAAGTCCATAATTTTTAATTTATATTTTTTATTTAATATATAATTTTAAATTAACAACACTAAAAAAATAATTTTATTTAATACATAAATTTAATTTTTTAACAACACTAACAAAATTTAATTTATAAGTCCATAATTTTTAATTTATATTTTTTATTTAATATATAATTTTAAATTAACAACACTAAAAAATAATTTATAAATGTTCAAAAGACTATTTTACCATTTTTCAATTGTTTACTAAGTAATAAAATGAAGGTAAAATGAATATTTCACATATTAGTCCTATGAAATATCAATTCCGTCGAAATAATCCCACCCTCTCCCCCAAAGATTGTTTAATCCCTCATATGAGGGATATAGAATCCGGCCGGACTCCATGCCTGGCAAACTAAAATTACACCAAACGATGGACATTTCTCTTCATTGGATAAGCAATCCAAAACAATAAATAATCCCCCCCTCCCAATCCCTTGAATCAAACACACCCGGAGTGTTATGCAACCAATTTTTGTGTGCATAGTTGAACTACTTAACCAAAGAAAGTATAAATCAATGGACAGTCATGTCTTTGCAGGATGTACACATAGATTCGCATATTTGTAAATAAAAATTTATGTGCAACATGAATAGAGATGCATAAATATATGTTGGTGAGTTCGAAGATGAGAGAGCATACCAACATAAAATTGAGGTGCTTGTTCTCCTCCTCCAACATCTTTTTCTGATCAACATTCACCCACAATGCACGTAAGTCAATTAGTTGCAAAATCTCTTTAATATTTTAGTTTTTGTACTTCCAAACAAGTATAAAATGATCCAAATATAAACAAAATCAAGAAAGGTATCTTGGCTTCATCTGTACATACATTTTTCTCCATCATGTCAATGTACTCCATCTGTGACAAAAAGCATAAAGGAAGGTCAAGGATTAGTTTTTGTCGCTAGTCATTACTTGAGTAAATATTGAATAGAACAACGATATTATATGGTAGTAATATACAATATTGCTAATAATACCGTGTAATTTGTAAGATAATGTCAGCTTAGGATCATCGATTAGTCTCAAAAACCCTCTATCCTCGTGTTTCCCTCTGTCCCCATGTTTCAATTTACTGATAACCATTTGATTATGTCTCAAAAAATTTTGTATTTTAAAATTCTTGTGCATAAATTGGAACAGAGGTAGGGAGGATGTTTGGACAAAATCCCAGATAATGCTTACTAGCTATGTCATCAGACTTGCCTGTTTCTCGCGAACACTCCCTAGCCCATTTTCGAGGGCTTCCTCTATGGCCATGAGCTCTTTGTGGTGCAAAGATGTTATGTCTTCTCCTTTCAGGTGCCTGGAACATTAATTTACACAAGATGAGAGAGAGAGAGAGAGTGTGTGAAAGAGAAGACGCAAGTTATTACCTCAGCTCAATCTGCATGCTATCATTCTCTTTCTTGATTCTATCAAGTTCGATGGCAATGTGTTAACTGTTTTAATTTTTTTTTCAAATACAACAAAAATCTATAGATTGAGTTACAATTATTTTTTGAGAGGGTTCACTTATGATGGCCACATTTTATAATATATTTAATTATTCACATTAGTTTTCATCACTATATTAATTTAATAAGTCAAACTGTTTATCTCAGGTTATATAAAAATAATAAATGTATTAATTTTTTCATTTCCTGCACTAAATTTATTTTTTATTCTTCCAAAAACAAATTCTAAAAATGAAACCATTCACATTTTAGATCCAAAATCAATTCATACGTATTTGAAATCGAATTCAAATCAGATCAGATCAGATCTTCCATTAGATATCGCTTCCTCTCTCTTGAATTTTGTCATTGTATTGAGTTGTTTATTTAATTTCATTATAACTCATTTTGGTGTTGGTTTTAGGCTTCTAGAATTGTGTTGTTGGAGTTCAATTTGATATAATTCTCTTTACATTTGCAAATAATCTCTTACCAATCAATAATAAATAAATAAATAAACTTTAATAGATACATGGGTTAGAATGTCGATTATAATTTCGAATCATGATTGATTGAATAAATTTTGATTCAAAGATAGTGGGCTAATTGAATCAATCTTACACTTTTTTTCCCCTTCTTTTCGGTAGTGAGAGTATTTGGGACTTTACTCGATTAGTTCCATAATACATTTTGTTTGTCAATATATCAAGTAATTACTGAGTACGAGTTCTAGATGTGATTCCAACGCATAAACACTTCATATGTTCAATCTGGTGACTTTTACTATTTGAAACACTCGTTATGGCATATGACTCAACTTACCACTCAACTAATCCTTACAAATTCATAGAAGCCAAGTTTGTCCTTGTAGAATTAATGTGTACGTAAACACTTTCATTTACTCATGACCCTCTCAAAATCAAACTTCATTTGAAATAAAATCATAAAACTTCGTAAAATTATGCTATGAGTAAGAAAACAAATTCATATCTCACTAATGTTCTACATAAGGTAAACAAAAAGCCATACGAGACCACTCTTGTATATTCTTAACTCTAAGGTTAGGAGGTAGTCTTTACCAAATACGAAGTTTGATTATTTTGTTATATTATGTTTATTTAATATCATTATGGGCTCTTTCTCATGTTGGTGGTTAGTATTTGGTTGGTATTAGTTGTTGGATTATGATTGTCCGTTTGATATAATTCTCTTCACATAATTAAAAACATCTTACTAGTTGACAAAAAAAATAAAAATAAAAAAAAATTATCTTTTACTAATGTTTTATTTCTTATACTTAAATGGATAATTTTGACATTATAAAAATTAATAACCACTATTATTTTTTTCACCTAATTTATGCAAAAAGTAAATTTTAATAAAAACGAGTATCATTTTATTTCTTTGAATTTCCTCCCATTTTCTTGCTGTCACTCCCCCAAAATTGCACAATAAATATAATCTGAAGCATACATAATTGGTAACAGAAATCAGAGTAAATAGTCCTTTCATTTCATGAAGTTAATGATACAAAAAAGTTTAACATAAAGAAATGACCAATCGGCTTACACCTTTCCAAGCCTCGGCTTGGTTACAACAAAAGAGAGACTAGCTCTTACAAATAAGCCCTTAGCTATACAAAAATATATAATAAAAAACCGGAAGCTCGTGCTTCCAAAAGTCTCTCCCAACTATTGTCTTGGTAGAGGCATGCCCTCAATACCTTAAAATGGTATCCCCAAATAGGGTGAGCCATAGCCCAGTAGGAATCATCTAACATAGTATATGAAACTTAGCAAAGGTATAAGTACACTATGCATAGACAACATCAGTGATAGAACATCCACATTTTTAAATGGCCATAAGATACCAAATTCAATCCTTTATCCATTTTCACTCAATTCATTTCATTACACGATCCAACTTCATCATTTCTCAATAACCCAAATGAGACTACAACTCATTAGTTCTATAATCACATCATCAACGAATAAACACTTCAAACTTTCCTTTCACGGATATTTCATCCGCGGGAAACCGTCAAACAGGACCCATGTAAACGTATACAACTGCCATTTTACGGATATTTCGTCCGTGGGATCGGCACCCATGTATAATTTCAGGACTTTCACCCAGGTGTAGACCGCCTGGAACTCCGCTCCGCGCGCGAGGGCGCGAATCGTGGTTCATAACTACTACAGTTCGGACTCATGTCACGGTTCTGAATCTAATCTCACAAAGTGCAATGTGAGACTGATAAATCACCAAAGAGTCCAAATCTGGAAAATCGTTTTGGAAAACTGATATTTATCAAGAAGTGCCAAACATGGACTGCTTTGCCAGATTTCAGAGTCGCCACCTAAATGTTTTATTTTGGAAAATTTAGGAAACCCTGACTCGTGCCGAAGGTCACATGTCCGTCATCACCAAAGTTGCCTCGGCTCGAGAACTTGGGTATGAGAGCGGAAAGTCATGCAATGAGCACCTCCGCTCGCTCGATCAAAGATCAGCCTCTACTAACATGATATGTTATTTTTTAAAACACATGCGTTCTTATCCCAGTTTATTAGCTAACTTACTATGTGATGCACACAGCATACAAGTATAGACTCAATCACGTTTATTGGAACAAAATAACTCATGTTTGTTTTTGAAAGTGGTTTGAAGTTGCTACTCGTAAGTAGGCTAAGACGCAGATTTGCCACCCTCAAGTGGGCTTAGAAAACATGATTTTGCCACTTCAAGTGGGCTTAAAAAGTCACAATCATCGAGTTGTTCCCATTCAGGCAATCAAGCCTCCACCCACAGGCATTCAAGCAGTTATAGCAGTTAAGCACATAGCCTCATGGAAAGCATGCTAAACATGGCAGTCACTTACACGCATGCAAGGATGCTAAAGCGTAAACACTCACAGTGTACTCTGAGCCGAAAAGGAAACTAGTTAGTAATCAATGCATGATCCTAGCTAAGTTAACAATGCCTAATGCAACTAAGATAGGCTCGGCTATTCTAAGATATCATGTGAATCCAACTTGATAACATGTATTCAAATTGGTATTGAAATACAATGCAGTTTGTATGATGTGCCGAGCCCGATGCATACAATACAGATGAATGGATGCACGCATGCAAACATAAGTATGCTAATTGAAACATGCCCTAAACTAACCATCGAAAGCTAGTAAATAAAAAGGAGAAAAAAATAGGGGTTGGAAGACATGCATCACATACACGCACACGCACACTTATTACAATAGTTGTGCCCTCTTGACGGAGGGTCCGAATGAATCAACTAACTAGCTATGCTAAGCTAATTAATTGCAAACGGAATTGAAACTAGCTATACTAAGCTAATTAGAATATTACAAAACAGATTAAACTAATTAATTACAAGACAAGTAATCAACTACAACTAGCTAGTAAAGCGGTAAAAAAAAAGGGCTCGCGGGGAGGGGTGTATGCATGCTCGGTTGGCACTGCTCGAAAATCCACTATCGTGCCTCATGTTGCCTCTGTTTGCACTCTTTTGGACTTCTGAAAATTGTGCCAACTTCCAAGGTACTTCTGACCCACCTTATGAAAATTCTGATGGATGATCGGCCAAGAGGAATGGCCATCGGCCAAAGTTTGTGGCTATCGGCCAACTTTGATGGTCGATTGGCAGACTAAGTGGTCGATCGGCAGCTTGATGGCCGGTCAGCCACTGTTTCTTGCAGATTCTCCGTTTGCTACAACGGAGTACTAACAGAGGCATGGCAGTGTATTTACAAGAAAATGTGTATGCAACCACACTCCTTATCATGTCATATGCTCAAAGGAGTGTAGTGCTCGACTCTCGAGCCATCAATCACACATCTCAATGCATGATGGCCAAAGAGGCCGAGTTGCACAAATCAATGTTAATGAATGCACATAAACAACACATAAGATTCGATGAACCTCCACCTTATCATATATGATCAAAGGTGTTGGTGACCTAAGGAATGAGGCACGTTTCATCACTTTGAATATGAAACGTGCGACATTCCTCGTGTTTGGATTGACATCCAACCCAAACACAATGCAACACACAACATGCTAACACAATGCAATGCACACAACATGCTAACACAACGCAATGCAACAACATGCAAACACAATGTCATGTAACAACATGCAAACACAATGCAATGGCAAGGGCTATGCAATGCAATTACTCAATGGACCAAACCAACCTCAAACAAGCCTCATGCATGCCAAGACAATGGCCAAAACATGCTGAAAATGAAGTCCAAAAAGAAAATACAAGCATGCATACACATTGGTTCATAAACAAGGCATGAAGACAACAACTCTCAAACACATTGAAGGAATGGAAAGTGTGAGAGTGCGGCAATGAAATAAGCTCTGAAATCATGTAAGGAATGATGCCAAATCACGCACATAACACAAGTATAACATGCTAAGAGGCTCAGAGCTTAAGGCTAGAAAAGGGACTTACACCATGGCCATATCAAGCGAGCCCCAAAGGGCCAAGGTGACTCAAAAAAGTCCCAAGGAAGGTCAAAACAAGGCTAGAAACATGCTTGAATAGGGCTAACTCATGCTAGAATGGAAGGCACAAAACATGACGCATACAAGGTCAATAAGGAGGATTGCATTACACCTACCAAAACCAAGCATGAGATGACTTCACTAACAAAGATTAGAGTTATGGCATGTCAAAATAACACCAAAAATGCACTGACATGGCAGTCCAAAAGCTTAGGCAAGATGGCATACATATTGGCTCATATTTAAGGCATAAAGCACCAACCCTCCAAAGCATTGAAATAGTGAAAGATGTGGGTGTATGACAATGAAACATGCTCTAAAATCACAAACCACGTGATGCCAAATCATGCAAATAGCCCAAGCAATGCACGCTAGTGGACTCGAAATGCAAAGCTAGTGAACAAGGATGCACTATGGCTATACAAAGCAAGGCATGCATGACTAAAACAACATAAATCAGAGCTTA